TTTTTTTGTCATGTATGAGTGTAGAGGTGCTAGACCTGTACGCATTTTACTCAACTAATATTTTTTGTTGTGGGTGTCAAATGCTCAATAAAGGATATTACATCTGTAAGTAGATACAGAATAACAAACTGAGTAGTTCGATGTGTCGGCTGGAAAATCTGCAACTATCGGTATGCACAACAGACTCTCAAGTACATTGCTCTACTTCATTAGCAATTCTATTCTATACGTATGAGAGGCATAACATGACCCGATACATTTCAACATACTATGTATATAACAAATGATAAGAACGAGATCGTGCACGTCTGATATGGGAATAATTTCACATGCCGCCGTTCCACTGGGTTACATCCGCATCTTCCGCTGACTGCAATAATACAAAGTTTGATTAAAAGCAAAACAAATGTTACCATATTAGCTTACAGCAAAAATCTTAAATTTCACGCAGTCGTCTTCTTTTCACCACAATTTTCTGCTATTTTCCCAAACATGATAGTGACTTTACCATAGCTGTGCTCTAATGCAGATTGCAAATTTGGTGCACTTACACAAAACGACTGCTGGAAAGAAGATGACTGAAGCCTCTTCACAGGAAGTTCTGAGGCTCGGGCCTAGTTCACGCGATTTCATCGCCTCGCGATTCTCCCAACAGGACAACTATCACAAATTCATTGCATAACGACCACCATACATTCCGGTTGTGATAGTCATTCACGATTAATCGTGTCAAAGAACTATCACAACCGAAATGCAGCAGAATCTGGATGCAATGAACTTGTAACAGTTGTCGTTAGGGGGATCGCGAGGCGATAAAATCGCGCAAACTATGCACGAGGCTTTATCGAAATAGAAAAAGCTAGTTTGAAAGATCAAGAGCAAATGGATTCGACAACTATGAAAATAAAGGCCACTGCATGACGAAGGCGCGGAAGCAGCATTAGTTGAGCAGGCGCGAACGCGGCGCGCGCGTATCTTCACCGATATAAATCCTGCGCTCAATGCGCTCTGTGGCTAATAAAGTCGCGTTCGCGCCCAGAGATATTGCACCTTCGTCATGCATCAGTCTAAAGGTCGACAAGGGAATATAAATTTCTGCAGGTCTTCGAAAAATTTGAATTTAGTGCACTAAACTGCATAAAAATCACTAGCAGTAATTTGCACTTACACTTTCAGGCTCGATCTTCCTCCGGATCATTCCATTATTGACGTAATGTCTTCCTTCGCCAGACAAAGCTTCAAGCTCTTCGTCAGAGAACGGGAAGAAACGTGGTGGATTACGGCGGTCTTCGTACCTAAAGTCTATATACCATATTTATCTCCACAAAAATATATCTGCTGACAAGCAGTTAATCTGATATGACTCACAAAACTGCTATCCATGTATCCTTGATCAGTATGGAAAGTGCCACCTTGTCAGGTTCTGTACCATCAAGGTTTATGATGAGAGAAGAGATGCCATCTGTAAACCGAGATTAGCAGAACCTTCAACTCAGAACCTATCAGATCCAAAACAAATATGCAGCTCTCAAAGAAAATAAGTCCACACAAATTGCACTAACCAACAATCTGTTCGATCAGTGCACTCGGATATTGCTTCTTCTTTGCATCTCTTCTAACACCGGGCTTGATCATTGTATACTGCCCTCGAGCTGCATTGGAATGTATCTAGAAAAATCATGATAAATTAATGAACAACAGATAATTTTGAAATAAAAGACTATCCTCCTTACCATTCGTGTCATATGTGTGAGGAATCGCTTGAGTTCCAAACGGAAACCACCAGTTCCTCTTCTGTGTTTCAGCAGTGTGTATGTATCAAGAAGATTGAAGTTCCGAAGAT